ATACAATACAACACACAACATATAAGCTTCAATCTGATGGCTACAGGACCCTACATGATAGTGAGTATTCGAATTGTCGAGAGCTATATGAGATAACTTCGAATTATCACGTGTTGTAGTCTGGCTAGCCACAGATTATGCTCCGAAATATTGAGTATATCAAAACGTATTGTTTTAGTTTGAAATATCAAGAGTTTTTCTAGGGACGGAGCATATACTTCGAATTAGCGAGAGGTTCGTATTATCGAAGGTTTGAATCAGCGAGAGTCCACTGTATTTAGAAACCGAATTAATGAAACAACGATTGCATCAATAAAGCTGCTCTAGAAGGTTTTATATATATGTTACCGGCAAAGTATGAAATGCCGGCATTCTATACAATACCGGATGTTCTTAGGCAAAGTACGAAATATGAGATTTATTACATACTTTGCTTAGGCAGTATACGAGTTTCTCTTCTCGCTCATTTTCCAAACCAAAAATAATTTCCCACAAAGCATTATTAACTCAGATATTGTACAAAATAACAAATTAATTTTAAAAAATGTGTTAGCTTCCGATAGGGTTGTCAAAAATAAAACTATCTTCTTTGGTGTTTTATTTTATATTACTTTGATTGAAAAATATTCTACCGCCATTATTCACGCGTTTGGCAACATTTTCATTTTTATGATGATTTACTTGAAAAGTACAGGAATATTTTTTAAATTTCGGCTGACATACAGGATTCAAATTTTGAGTAAATTTTTAAGAATAAACACGCTTTCGGCTTATAACGGACCGTCTTATATCTATAAATATAGGATACATAAAAATAATTTTGGTGTAAGAAAAACCATATACCGTAAAGTTCAGCATATAACATGCACTTTTAATTAAAAAAAATAAGATTGAAGATTACGGATGCGCTTTATGTGCCGGGTATATAAACGAGAGCTTTCAAAAAATAAAAAAGAGGAGCATAAAAAAAAATTAAACTTCTACATAGATCGAAAAATACTGATTATTTTAAAGAAATAACATTCCTTATGAACTTAAGGGGTTGTAGTTCTAGAAGTTCACTATTCTTTACTAAAGCTTGGAATAATATCTCGAATAAATGACTAAAACATAAGAGCATTGCACACGGACAATTTAGGTTTCTTCGTGAAAAAGTGGGTGCACATTATACGGCGAATGTACCTAAAAACTATATATAAATATTGCAGTTTGAAAGTATAGGTATGCAATATACGCCGAATTTTACGGTAATTATAACCTCATAAAAATAGCGATAGCATTATTGTTAAGATGGGTACCGAAAACTCCGGCGTATAACGCGCACTTTCATTACAAAAAATAATATCGAAATTTACCGATGCGCGTTATACGCCGGGTACCGAAATGACAACTTTAAAAATAAAAAAGATATGAGTATAAAAGAAAAATAAACTTCCACGTAGATCGGAAATACTGTTTATTTAAAAGAAATAGCATTCCTTACGAAAAAGAGTTGAAGTTCTAGAAGTATATTGTTTTTTTTAAAAATAATTAGATAATACCTCAAATAAATGACTTCAAAACATAAGATCATTACGTATATACATTTCAGATTTCTTCGTAAGAAAGGGGATGCGCGATATATGAAGAATATAGCAAAAAATTAAAAAATGCAGCTCGAAAGTATAAGTGCGCGTTATACGATATCGCGTGGTTTACACCGGCTTTTCCCAGTGCATGAAATCAAACCGAACTATTTTTTGTCTTAAGAAAACGTGTTTTTTATGAAATGCTGCTTTTATAGTAGCAGAACATGACATTTAAATTTAATAACATTAACCTTTTATTCTATTATTAAAAATACACATATCAGTCCTTGAATTCAGAGCTCTAATCATATCTTTAATGTGTGGGGATCAAATGTATGTATTACTAATAAAAATGTTCGATTTTGAGTGGGAGTGAAATGGTGCTTTAGTAAAACTTCATTTCCTACGGTTACAGTATAAATTCTATAAATAATAGTTAATTTTTAAATTTTATATATATAATTGATTTTCCTTCTTAAATAACTGTGTCGTAAGATGATAATAGTAATTAATTATATTATAGTAATAAAATATAGTCTAAATTAAAAATTTTGCTTGATACTTTCAACAAGTATTAAAATGAAAATAATTAGTTAAATTTAGCTTAAGTAGTTTGATCAATTATAGATTACGTTTCATGTTATCAGGGTTTCATGAAATTAAAATTGGCGATGTCTTAAAAGATATTTAATAAATCCCTTTAATTATACTAATGAAATACAGATTTAAAAATGTTTTATACATATTGTACACATTTAAGTATTAGAAATTATTGAAACAAAAATTAACTGAAGATATATTCATCTATTTTTAGCTTTCTAAGATTTGTAATTTATATGAACATTCCTAAATATTGGAAGAAATTTATACATTCGGGAAAAGTACTGGAAATTAAATTTGATAAAAGTTTATAGTTTCAAAGATTACAGAATTTAATTTCAAGCAATTAGTTTGCACTTTGAGTAACTATTTAACATACCCTTCTGCTATAACTTACAATAAAGCTTATAAAAAATATTTTGAGAAACTAAAATAGTTATTACCTGCTTGTTGTAGTTTTATTGTTATTTTCCTTATGCCCTGTTTGACGTAAGCTTCTTTTTGTAATAAATCCATGAAAAATAATAATAAATATAAATGATATTAATGAATACAAAAAGTACAGAAGATAGTCAAGTGTATATTAAAATTAAAAAGGTCCCCAAATACAAATATTATCTATTTGCTAGTGTGGAGCGTTTTTGAATATTAAAGATTTGATTAAATATGGTAGATTAGGGGTTTGGTTCTATGAAGTCTCTCCCTAGTGTAACAATTATTTATTATTTTAGGTTAAGTTACACAAAGACAACAAATATCATAACAAAAATAACATGAAGAGAACATGGACGGTTTTAAATAGCGACCATGCTTTCCCTCACTTGGTCTGTACTAAAGTTGTGTGGTCGCTAGAGGGCGCTTCTACTGCTTTTTATAGTTATTATGAAAATTATAGTTATTATGACAAGAACGTTATTAATCAGTAAATTAACTCGAAAGGTTTAGGAAAAGAAATTGCAATTTGCGAAAATGGCAGAAAAAATATTGAAAAATTCATAGGCAGCATTTTTTATATAAATCCAAAAAAAAAAAAATTAATAGAGGAGAATTAGTTTTAAGTTTAGGGTTGCCCTATTGGCGCATACATTGAAAGACATTTTTCAAGACTTTTATAATGCAAAAAAGTCAAATATTTTTTCCGGACTTATACGAAAAAAATCTAATGTGGAATATGTTAAGCTTTTTTACAGATTTAATCTTCCCCACAAAGATTTAACTTCGAATAAAAAAATCGATTTAAGAAACAAAACAATACTTAATAGTCGCAAACTTACTGCGATATCGAAAACATTTGAATCTTTAAAAAAAAATAGTGGCTGCGATAGCCTAGTGGTCAAGAAAACAGACTCGTGGCCAGCGTGTCATGAGTTCGAACCTGGTACCGTTTTAAAGCTCCGCCGTGCAGAAGAAGCCGATGCACGTTAAATATGTCCAGACTCAAACCACTTCCCGTTGGTGTGGTGCGGAAGTTAAAAGAGGAGGTGCCGGCTCAGGTGTCGTCCTCATCACTTGACTATGGTTCAAAACTAAGAAGCCCGTCACCAAAAGCCCTCGAGCAGCTGAATAGTGTGACGTTAATATATGTCGTCCACATCACTTGACTATGGTTCATTCCTCACTGTTGCCAACTATTTCTTTTTGAACACTTTCCCTTAAAACACACATTTGCTATCATTATTTTCACGCATAACTATAGTAATGTATTCTAATATACTTATACTAAATAAAGAAAAATAAAACGAAATATTTTTCTTCGAAACATTTTGTAGCAGTCTCAACAATTAACTATTTTTAAATTAAATAACAGACTGAGATTCTACGATTAAGAACATTCGGTAAGACTATGTTTCAAAATCAAGAGGTCCATCACCAAAAGCCCTCGAGTAGATGAATAATGCGATGTTAATATTCACTCACTTAAAATGAAGTCGAATTAATTTTTAGTCAGGTCGCAAGATTCAGATCTATTACTATCAAACTCACTTAAATTTCCTAAGATTTTAAAGAGAAAAATTCTAGGAAGATTCAGAATTTTATGGAAAGGTTTCTTACCTGCTTGGTTTGAACAAACATCCTTACTTAAAAGGTGGAAGAAACAACTAATCTTGTGAGTTAAGTGACAAGAAAAGCATTTTAGCCTTAATACCTCATTCTCCTAGCCTTCCATTCTTTAAGAGAACTCTCAGAAATAGTTGAAATAAATGCGCAGCAGTCTTGATTACTTTAGACGTCAATCTTTGTGGAATCAGGATTTGAGTGTAATGTGTTTTTACGTGATAATATTGTCAATCATAGACCAACTATAGTGACTCAAAATTGTTTTGAAATTCTAAGTGAATAAGTTATTTTTTAATCTCATAAATTCTTTTCTCCAGAAATTCTTTTCAATTCCCAAGAAATAACTTGAATAATCTATAATTTAATTTATAATGTTCAATTTTTAGTTTTTTTAAAAAATTGAGTTATTATATACTTGATTTACTTTAAATAAATATGATTTTCTAATGAACAAGTAATATAAAAAAATTTTAAAGTCCGTTCCTACCTAGGTCAACAAAGAAAAATTTTATTTTAGTTATTTTTATTAAATAGTTACAATTAATTTAAACATGTATGTACATCTGACAGAATCACAATATTAAGTGATAAAATAAAAATCGATTTTCAATTTTCCGTTCTATATGTGTTCTATAAGCGCAATATTCCGTTCTATATGCGCAATGGATAGCGTGTTGGACTATTTTTTGTTTGTTACTATTTATTTAAAAATTAAATTTAATTATTCTAATAAAAAGTATAGTAAGAAAAGAAATCATATTCTCAGAAATTAGGCCATTTCAGGCGGTATTTGAACCCACGACATTTGGATTAGAGGTCCAACACGCTATCTATTGCGCTACAGAACGAACGATTTTCCTTTCTCTATATATCCTGCTGGACTATCATTTTTGTATGTGTTACTATTTATTCATTTTTCAATTTATATAATGAATTAATATTTGAAAAAACTGTAGTAATATTAAGTGTTATCCACTACAAGTTTAAAAATTAAAAAAATGAATTAGGGTTAACAAAATATATGAATGAAAATCTTTAAGTTTACGATAATATCTTTCACTGCCAATAGGTGGTCGAGGTAGCGTAGTTGTTATAGTCACAAAATCATGACCGGCGTTTCATGAGTTCAAGCTTTAGGGCCATTGAAGATCTGTCGTGTAGATGGGCTGATGCACAATAAATTCATCGTGGCTCAAAGTCCTTCAGATGGCATGTCAGGGAAGTTCGGAAAGGGGTGGGCTAGCTCAAATGTCGTCCTCGTCACTAGACCATGGTTCACAACTACCAGAGTTTACGTCAGTAACCTTGGTATTGACGTTATTAGACACTCACTCTCTTTAAAGCCGATAAAAACCTAATGTAGCACAAATTCTTTGAATATTTGCCCTACAGAACAAGGTTTAGCAATCTATGGCAATTGGTTCAATTCTTAGGTGCATTCTGTACCTCTCGACAAATTTGTTAGTTTTTTAGTAAAGTTGATAATTTTGAAATAATGCTTATTAAACAAACATTTCCAGGATTATGGAAAGAAAAATGTACGGAACGGCTAAGAAACCTGGAACATAACCCTAATGATAAATAAACAGCTATTTTAAATTGTTGGATGCTATTTCTCGAGAGATTTAGTTGTTTGGAGAGAAAATACATGTTCTTTGCTTTCCGCACATTTGATTCTACATATCTATGTGAACAAATCTTTTCTCATATGCAAAGAAGTTAAACAACTTCTTTTGGACTCAACTGAACATTCAGTATCGTATGAAATATAAAGTCACAAATTATACTTCTGATATTGAGATATAAAATGGATAAGTGCAAACCTTCTACGGCCCTGCACTAAATGAACCTGCCTCGGGAATCAAAGAAAAATGTGACCATACCATCGAAGAACCCGCCACTCTAACTCAAAATCTGGCAATCGCCTACACTGACGGCTCATCCGACTCAAATCTTGATAGAGGAGGTGTCTTCTTTATTTCTCCAAACAGAGAGTATGAGTGCCATAAAATATTCAAGTAGAGAAAATCGCATCCAGCTACACATGCGAACTCAAGAGTGTACTGGAGCTTTTCCTTTGTAAAAGCTTCCAAAAATCCAGCGGCATTATCATCTTACAGACTCAAGGTCCGTGCTACAAGTCATCCAGAAAAGCAAGTGCCAAATCAGCCACAAAATTATCCAATCATCGACAGCATCATCATTGAAAAGAGATCCTGCACACTACAATAGATACCATCCCACGTAAATATCTTCGGTAATGAGAAAGCCGATGGATTTGCCAAAGAATCCATAGCTTGCCCCCAATCATTCAACCTCACGACCCTCATCGACGCCAATGCAGTTTCCAGCCGAAGATTAATCAACAATAGTTTTAAATATTACATCTCAGCTCTAAACAGTAACCGTACAATGGCATCGATAATATCCAGAAGTAGAACAAAGCACGTAACAGGAATGAAAATCTCAACTGATGGACTAAGAAAACTGCCTTAAAGTTCAACAATCTCCACAAAATATCCTCAGCTGCCCAGCAATTCAAGCCAGACCTTTCCAAGATCAGCCAAAAAGTCCCAGAAGTTTCGATCTTCTTTGATAAAGCTTCTTTTTTATCAATCTGCACATCATGGACACACCAACAAGTGCAAGGACAAAAGGTTCGCATTAAAATATTGAACTATATTAAAAGAATGCTTTTATATTTTGTTGTTTTTTTCTAATGTTAATGATGAACCCTTCATCGAGCGCAGCTGGCATGAGAGGCCAGCAAAAGCATTTAGTGTCAAATTAGTAATTTTGATTGTTTTAGTTTAAGCATCATTTTGTTCATTAAACTGGTTCTTTTTCATACAATTCTGGTGTATTGGCTTTCTTTAAACCTTATCCAAGGCGGCCTTATGTATGTTTTGAATTAAAATTTATTAGGGCTTGTGGCCTACAGGCTAGATGCGCCTCATTGTGTTACGTTCAGAGAGGCGCCCGACGAAGGGCTAAGTTTAAAAGATACATAATATACAAAAGATATGTATAATTTTAATTTTTTACTTACTTTTTTGAAGGAATAGTTATATTTTATGTTAATAAATATCTTTAAATGAAGTATAAATAAAACTCTGAATCTGTGCTCTTGATCTCTATCCATTAACTCTGAACGCACGTGGGAATAGAATTATTTCAAATATTTTCTATTGTACGGTGCCCTGAATCATACTGATACATTGGTTTAGCACACCGCAGCAACAAAGTTGTCGACCCCTGCTATAGAACTTTATTTTTTTAGAAAAAGTACTTATAATTATTTGCATAATATAATATTCAGTCATGTATTGTTATATATTTAATTATATGTTATTATATAAAATAACATATTTATTTTTTAAGACTTAACTTCGCTAAATTTATTTTTTGTTGTTTTACACTCAAAAAAATATTAACCGCTCTCCAAGAATAACATTTATTACTATTTTTAACCGTTGTATAAGTAAAGCACTTCATTTCTTTTAGAAAAATTACCAAAAAACCAGCATTATACTTTTTATTTTCGTACGAAGATAAAATTTTAAAGTTTTCTGTGAACAGAAAAGCAGAATTCGATCAGAGATTTTGTTTCTGTGCAGTCTCTGTTTCTTGATAAGAGGATCAGGAAAGACCTTTTCACTTTCAAGAAAAAATTCTTTATCCACTCAGAAAAGAAGGCCTTTATCTGATATTGCGGATTCAGAGAAACAAAAGGAAAACGAATTTATATTTTTCCATTGCTCCTTCACTCTGAAAGATCTCTATTTATTCTAACGAAATTTAAAATGAACTTTTCATGCCATTGGAATGCTATAAAGTATCTTTATAATTGTTTTATGGATCTAATTATTTTATACGAAAATGCTTGTAACGGGTCTATTCTTGAGCTTCCTATTAATCCTCTTGGAGAAAACTATTTGTTTTAAATATTGTTATATTGAAAACTTTCGCCCTAAGAAGACACGGTTTATGTAAAGGAAGGATGATATTTAAGCATTAATTTTTAGGTACGAGGAGTTAGTGATTAGGAGTTAGAAGTTAGGAGTTAGTGGTTAGCGGAAAGTAACTGTGAGCAAGTCAAGAGTTGCTCGACGAGTAATTGATGAATAATTAAAGGTTGCTAATTGACGATTTAGTCAATGAGTTGGATTATATTAATAACGTCTAGAGGTTGAACAGCTGATGATGGAATTAAGATAATTCAGACCGTACATAACCAAAACGTTATAAAAGTAAGTTAATTGAATTGTAATTAAATATTAAGTATCCTTCCTACCATGCTTTTGGCCCTATAATTAATATAATGTTCATTTCCTACCTGGGTTGTTAGAATTAATTGATAGAATAATAAAATAGATTTGTTCTGATTATGGCTAATCTTTATTCTAATCCCTAAACACCGATGAACACGTTCTGTGATGAGTGTTAGCATGTGATGACAGCACGTTCATCACATGCTAACAGTGATGCTTTGAAATATTTTGTCAAGAATAATAACTTTACAAATGATATTCTCATACAGTCCGCCCAAAGAACACTGGTCAGTAAACGTATGAGCCGGCATACTAGATAATCGATTAATTGAACCGTCCATATCTGTTGCCTGAACAGCTCAATGTACATTCGTAGTTGATACTTCTCCGTGATGTATTACATGATGTCCTAGATGACATGCCTTAGCGACAATACTTGGATATGGCTTCAACATAATGGAGCTCCGGTACATTTCAGCTCTCTTGGGCTTCATTGGCTGGTATATCGAATACACAGGTAGCTGGGTTTAACGTGGGTGTCTTGTTTTTTGGCCACCCACGATCTCCAGATCTGACCCCTTTTTATTTCTTATGTGAATTTTTCAGAGCAATGGGCACTGACCGAGCCACTTAAAAAGGCTCGGAAGGCCTCAGGTGGAGTATCGCTGCTACAGGCCGTAGAGGTACAGCCTTCGGCACTTTTAGGCATTCTTGGGACACCCTGTATACTACACACTAGCCCATGTCATTAGAATTCAGGTGTAAGTGCGTTCAAACATCGGTGTGTTCATTGCAATCATAGAGCATGGTAATGAACTCGTACAACTGCAATTTTTTTTGGTATACCAACAAAAAAAATGGTGAAGATAAAAATGGTGTAAAACATAGCTAAGAAATATTCCCACATTAATTTAATGAATGATTTACGATAGTATTCTACTAATTGGTGTCAGTTCGTGAGAATGGACGAAAATACCTATAAAGGATAACTAGAATTGATAATAGCTGTAGAATGGCAAAGTACTGTGATGTATAAGAACAGGGTTGGGCATTATGTCAATCGCGGTTGACCGGTGGACCTCTAAGACATTTTGGGATGACCACCTGAAGATTACCAGCTATTAATTATACACCGAAATATTCAAGATTGGCTGATAGTATGCAGTCTTCTACTGAGCACTAACTTTAGATGAAAATTTTTTATTTTTAATATAACTTATATAATTTCAAATAAAAAATGTATGATTTGATATTATTATACGTGTATTTTGGCTATTATTATTATGTTTGTGTCTTGCGTTTTGTTTTAAACGTGGCCTTAAAAGTGTAAGTTTGTTATATTGTAGTTATTATGTAGATGAGTACATCTATTCCGTATTTATTATTGTTATAATTAATATTGTAGGCCACCATCTACACCACTAGCTGGACCGCAACACCTTGGAAAAAACTAGAAGTAACCCGTTCTCCAGAATAGTTTGCCCACTCCTGCATAAGAGTAAATCTGTCCCCTTGGAAAAATGATTTGAACGTAAAGAATTTTTGTTATTGGAAGGTCATTCAAAGCCTTTAAATTT